TCTATTGCACCTGAAAACTGCAAAAAAAAAAAAAAAAAGCGTTTTGCAGCTTTAAATCAAGGCTAAAACCCACCTGTTAAGAGTCGCCTTCATTTAATAATAACCTCATTTTAAAGTCTATAGTCCAACTTTTTATTACTTGCCTTGCTTCATGACGTTCTGTTACCCTTAAATATGAACATGATGTGGCAGAGAGGCCTGTTGGTTTAAGTGACTCTTTAAAATCGTAAAGATAAGAGAACATGCCATGCAAGTAAGGCAGATGTATTTACGCATGTCTTTACTAGGGGTGCAAATCATTTTGTAGGGCCACACGAGTGTAATTAGTACAGGAATGTTTCACAGAGAAGACTGCTTGTCCCGTTTGAGTCTACGTTGCAAAAATAATGTTCTCGATGAAGTTCCTCTAGAAGGAAGTAAACCAGTGTGAACTCAAGATGTTTGGTAACTCTTGAGTTGTGAGATTAAACCATTTAAACTGTTGTTAGTTGTGTCGTGTGTGTCACAACTGCGGCACAGTTTTTTTTTTTTTTTTTAATGTCTCCAGCTGTTGCAGCCGTCACAGCTTCGCAGGGTGCAGCTGCAGGAGAATAGTTTCAGAGATTCAGCTGCATCTTCATGCAATGCCGTGTCCGCTTGCTCGTTAACGTGGGCCGCAGCTCAACAATCGACTCGGTTTCCGCCTGAATGAGGGGAACGACTCTTTCTTGCAGCACAATGGGTTAAACAGGCCAAACAGCCAGAGAGATGACAGCGGCATTCCCCACAGACTGTGCACTGTCGAAACCAATTAGCATGACCTTTTTATCTTTATGGTATCCTATGTGTAGGGAGTGTTAAGTCATGGCTGTCGTTCTTTTCACACTGAACAAAAACATCTCAGTTATTTCCACAAAAAAAAGGAACACTTAAAGGAAGTGGATCTGTGTGGTTTCTGGCATTGGGTTTGTGATTTTCCCGTTTCCCTAGAACGCTGCTGAGTATCTAATTGACCGCATTGATGTTAAATTTTGTGATTTCCGACTTTAAAAACTTTTCTTTTCAGCAGGAGTAAATCTACTGAGGAAAGGAGAAGGAAATGAACAATCTGTTGGTTTTGGGTTTCCAACGCCTGAAAAAGTTTCTCCTTCTGTTACATAAACGGTTGCTGTTCCCACCTCTCTAGACGACATAATCAAGCTCTGTAGTGAATGTTAATCCACTTTCTAGTGTGTATTGGGGGATTTTTGGCATAAAATTGTGCCTGAAATCAGTTTCTTAAACCCAACTGGTGTGGGAATAAAAGACGCTTTGTGGATTTTTAACCAGTTTGACACAATTTGAATTCAAACTACTAAAAGTGTGTTTATAGAAGCATCCATATTTCTTTCAGATTTAAAAAAAGAAATAAAGTATGTGGGAATGGAGAAAATGATTATATGTAATTTTATTCTTAAAATATGAGTATAAGGTGCGTTGGATCGAGCCGTTAATGCTTCTTTAAGCT